GGGGTACACATTTGGTGTACCCCTAGCATATCCCTATTAATTATCATGCCTCCTCGGGTCGGTATATTGATCCTCTTGGTTTTACTTCCTTGGTACCAAATAAGTTAATCAAATTCATTTTTAAATAAATTTGATAAACTAAAAGAGTATCTGTGTGTATATATACATATGTGTGTGTGTGAAATTTGAGCTAAATAGTATTTCCTCCGTTCTTAAAAAAAGTTCCTACTTTGAAAAAGTGTTAAATTGTAGTTGACTTCCTATTTTGCCCTTGATGAGATGGGTAGATTAGTAGAGAAAAAGTATGATGTGATAGGTAGGGTATAAAAATGTAAGGGTAAAAGTAGTTTTTTAATAGAAAGTGGAAGTGTTTTGTTGGAGAGAAAAAAAATTGTAATCTATTTAGGGACGGAGGGAGTATGTCATTTTCTAATGTAATACTTAAATTTTTTTATTATCTAAAGAGTACTTGAATAATGTATAGTGAAAGGAATAATGTCCAGTGACGACAGTATTTATTACTCCCTCAATCCGGAAATAAAGTTCTTCCCTTTTGAGTTTTCTTAGTCAAAATTTGTAAATTTTGATTCCAATATAATACGTTGAAAAACTAAATTGTATTAAGATATAACTTTAATATCAATATATATATTCATATTGAAATGTAGATTTCAAATATCAAATTTTTATAAAATATAACTATGTATAAATAAATATTATTGGTTAAAGTGTAATTTTAAAAACTATGAAAAGTCAAATTGAAAGAATATTTTTAGACTGAGAGAGAGTATCTAAAGGAGAAACAACGAATGATGGCTGTTGGGGACTGGGGAGCTAGTGGGGAGGGGACTTGGGGTGGATTTACACTGTGTTTGGTTTAAGGATTTTGAAAGGAAAAGAAAAGAAAATGATTTTCTCTCATTTTCCTCACCAAAATGGAAGGAATTTTATTTTCCCTCAACTTTTTTTTTCTTTTTCTCTCTATCCAAACAAAAAAACTATTTTCCATCTCATTTTCTTTTCTTTTCCATTTCAAATTCCTTGAACCAAACATATTGTTAGTTTTCATGAAAAGGAGAAGCCAAAACCCAAAAGTAAGTAGTAGTGAGAAACATTCAATCTTAACTTTATTCAAAAATACTTTTGAAATTTATTTTAATTTACACATCCGCTGTTATAAAACATACGCAGAGTCTCATTTAATTTCATCCATATCTAAAAAATCATGTCTACCTTTGAGAGAGAAAAATGAGATATCAAAATTCAGCAGCCTTTTTGAACACCTAATGGTATACTCCCTCTCTCCCGAAATATTCTTCCCATTTGATTTTTCTTGGTCAAAGTTTGTAAACTTTGAATATGATATGTGGAAAAAAATACATTGTATTACGATATAACTTTAATATGAATATATTCGTTTTGAAATATAGTTTTCAAATATCAAATTTTTATAAACTATATCTGATGGTGTAAATTATCGACCGGTATATCGTTTTTAGCCGGGCAAAAGCGATAAACTAGTCTAAAAAATATACCAAAATATAAACACGAGGATTTTGACGTGGAACCCCAAATCGGGAGAAAACCACAGACCTTTTTTGGCGGTACCTTGCCAACGGAGGATTTTTATTAATATCGGGGGTTGTACACGGTACATGATTTGGGCTATGAAGCCATTAATGGATGCTTGAAGCTTCTTTGAAGAAAATAAAATATACAATATACAATATTTCTAGAGAGAGAAAGTAGTTTGAGTAGGAGGATAAGAGAGGAAAATGGCCTCCCTTTCTCAATTAGGCAACCCCTTCTCTTATTCTTTCATTTTATGAGTAGGACCGATTTGATTATTCTTCGTAAATAATTGGGAAATGTGGACCGGGCCACATATTATTTCCCATCAATATCCATGTATAAATAAAGATATTAGTGGTCAAAGTGCAATCTTGAAGACCGTAAAAAGTCAAATGAGAATAACATTTCCGGACGGAGGGAGTATTTGTTTCAAGGAGTTATGAAGAAAATAAATAAATTTCTTTGTCTAATTTTCCTCACAAAAATGAGAGTAATTCTATTTTCCTTCCCTCTAATTTATTTGATCTTTTCATTTTTTTCACCTTTTTTTCATCACTAGCCAAACAAAAAAAATTATTTATCATCTCATTTTCTCTTCTTTTCTCCTTCAAAATCTTCAACCAAACATAGCAGTGCTCTTCGTTTGGAAAATAAGAAGCTGCCAGCTCGTAATCTAATAAAAGAAGCAATCTTTATCGGATCATTTCAATCTATTAGAGGACATGTAGTTCGTTCAATGTCAAAAAAATTGGAGCATATTTAATATTTCCTCTGTCCAAAATGATTGTCACATTTGTTTTTTTAACAGTCGTGAATTTTTTTTATTTATTTATATATTTTCATTAACTATTTGATAAAATAAAATATTTTTAACACTCCTTATTTTGAAAAACTTTTAATATAGTTTTTATGTAAATTTTATATTTTTATTTCTATATCAATATTTAAATAAAATGAATTGAAAAAACTTATTATTTTACATTATCTTTAAAAACGTGGTAAAAATATTTAGGAACGGAGAAAAATAAACAATTTAAAAGATTGGTAAGAATTGAAAGTGGTGGTCATGCACCTTTGCATTTTAGAATTTTTAGGCACCTACTCATTCGCATCAAAATTAGAGTGATACAGGACTATATTTAGCTATTTACCATTCTTATTATATTACTATTATTATTATTTATGGTTAGATAATTTCATTATTGTTAGGAAGTATTATTATATTAGGTTAATAGTATTTTAATTTATTTAGTTATCTTTTATGGCTAGGACTCTTTAGATCAACCATCTATATATGTAGCTATTATGCATGAGTTTATTATTGAATCAATAAAGAACAATCATTTTCCTAACCCTAAACTCCCTCTCTCCTCCTTGCCGATCAACGGCCATCTCCCTCTCCCTTCTCAATCTCTTCCTTTTTCCTCAATTCTATAGTTCGAAGGTGCTCAATCTTCTCTATCCCGATACGATACCGTATCATAGAGCGAGGCACAATTTGACTTCATACAAGTCAAAATTACGACACAAGTCATGTAACAAAAACAATGAGGCTTAATTTTGGCCAGAGGCAATAGGTAAGGATTCAATTCACGTTTCTATATTGTGAGACAAAAATAATAATTTTAGGTTCCCTTTGGTACACTTCAAGCTATGGAATTGAAATTGGAAAATTCTAATCTAACTCTATTATTTGATAGCACAAAACTATGTGGATTTAATTTGGAATTCATAGTGCAAAAAAAGAAATGAAATTGAAAATAAAATTTAATTCCGTTGAATTCAATTCAATGAAATTTAAATTATACAGAGTAATTTAATTTCTATTCTGTGTTCTAGGTTTACCTTTAAAATATTTCAATATTTTTAAGAAAGTACTTTCGTGATGACAATGCACATTATGTGTGTGGTTTTGCTGACTTCCACTATGTACCGCTGCAGGAGAGAACAAAACCAACTTCTGCATGTGAGTAGTTAGTTACTCTTTTGGCCTTCAAATTAAATTCACATTTTTTTCATTTGCGTGAGCTTAAATAAATTTTCTATTTCTATTTTTAAAAAATGTTATATGTGATCGTCAATATTTATTTCTTTCTTTCTAAACATATTCATACGACCCCTTTTTCGCAGATAACACTTTTTTCGAAATCTTTCAAATCAAGTTACGAATTTAATACAAAGTAGACTTTTCAAGATAGCAAGACATTTTTCACACTATTCGATCCGAGCGAGCAACTCATGTAGCACTTGCAAATTGGTGGTATGCATATATTCAATATTGTTAACTCATTCTCGATCAGCACGTGACCATGCACGGCGGGGACACCGCCGGCGTGAGGACTGGGGTTGGGTTGTATTATGATCGAGGCCGAACTAGAAAACTGGGCTACCTATTGCCAACGGTCGAGATTGGCACCATTGGTTTGATTTTTTTAAAAAACTTAATATATTCATCTATAAATCTCTCAAAAAATCAACATAATCTCACATGACTCTTTACTTCTTTTCTATTACCCTAAAAAATTATTTCTTAACTACTATGGATCTGAACCATCTTAGTTACCCATATTACAATAATTTTCTAATTATTACCAACTTTAAATCGACTTGAATAATCTATTTAAATAGCCTCGATTCTCCGACAAATCTCATGTCTAACTACATACACTAATTGATTCTAACAAGGGCCAGTTCCCAACCAACCCACACCCGATTTTGGGAAGGACTTCGTTCCTGAAACACAAAATGAACCATCTCCCTAATCCCAAACCGCCACCGATTCCAAGGCAACGCTCTCGAAGAGAAACACAAGAAGAACTTTAACACTTTTATAAATTCCGAGACCGGTAGGTTTTATAGTATTTTTAATACTCGAGTATATAAATGCATTAATTTCTCAATCCTTTTTTAAAAACAAATATTTGAAATTCTTTTGGAATTTGGACTTTTTTGATCTCCAACAAGAAGAATAATACAACAACAAAATGCGCATGTTGTAGACTCTAACAGATCACTGGGTGTGCTAGAGAAGACAACAAGAAAGCAGACAAAAATCTGATCAAAATGGAACATGGACGACTAGTTGAATATATTTTCCCTTGTGTTTTTATCCATTTTTATTTTTTAATTTCGTTGTTTTATTCTTTGCTGAATTTTTTTTCGTTATTTTCTTGTAATGAATGCATTTATTTTGAATTATGTTTAGATCAATATTTTAATTTGTATATAAGGGAGTAGTACAAAAATTACATTTAAATAAAAACAAATCTTTAATGGGCTCAAGACCCCCCACCATTCACTTTTGTTGGGCCAAACAACATTGCACAGAAGTTTAAGCAATTAAGCCCATACAAATAATCCAAACAAGTTTGTTTTTGACCAGCCATATTCTTCGACTTTCGGTGGAAGAATATATCTATCCCGCAACCAAAGAGAGGGGAAGAAGAAGAAACTTGGATAAATTAATCCGAATTAGGGTTTCTCACTAAGATTTGGATTCTTGAATTTGCAGTAATATTCATCCGTTTCGGTCTCTCCTTGTCAAAATCACCCGTGTTGGTACCTCCAAGCGATCTCGCGTTCGAGAGATTGTGCTCGTTGTTGAGCTTGAATTGGGAAAGATCGTTTTTTGTTGGGATAATATTTTTAATTTTGGAATTAGGAAGAATTGTATGCGGGGACGATGTTAACGAATTCAGCATTGGAGAGTGTCTGATCGCCTGATAATCGGCGAGCTGTTTCGATGATCTAAGGTGTTTTAGAATTTGTATGGAAACTCGTAGCCGGAAGCGGGCGGAGGCGAACTCTTCAGCGCCCTCTTCTTCATCTGGTGCCACAACCCGCGCAGCCAAGCGAGTCCGTATTCCCGTCTCCTCTACACCCACACCCAACACAGCTTCCAATTTAGCCTCGATCTCCACTCGTTCCCGCATAGCTACTCGCTCTCAAGACTCATTAGCATCTTTTGCACCCATGGACTCCACCAATGAATCTTCTGGTTCTGCATCTCGCAGCCGTCGTTCTAAGAACCCTAGTCACGGGCCTGATAATTCCGATAAAGGGAAGGAGAAAGAACATGACCTTAGAGCAAGGGATAGGGAAAGAGAAGCTGACAGAGGCATCAGGTTGAATATTGATTCAGGTGGCGGAGATGAGGATGACAACGACAGTGAGGGTGGGGCTGGTCTGTTGCACCCGACTTTTACTTCTGCCAGCAGTGCTCTTCAGGGTTTGCTTAGGAAATTGGGCGCTGGATTGGATGATCTCATCCCCAGCTCAGCAATGGGATCAACCTCATCATCACATCAAAGCAGTCGCCTAAAGAAGATCTTGTCAGGGCTGAGAGCAGATGGCGAGGAAGGAAAGCAAGTTGAGGCTTTGACACAACTCTGTGATATGCTTTCAATTGGAACGGAGGATTCGCTCAGCACCTTTTCTGTGGATTCTTTTGTTCCTGTGCTGGTTGGGTTGCTTAATCACGAGAGCAACCCAGATATCATGCTACTAGCAGCCCGTGCATTGACCCATCTAGTGGATGTTTTGCCATCCTCATGTGCTGCTGTTGTGCATTATGGTGCAGTTTCTTACTTTGTTGCTCGCCTTCTAACTATTGAATACATGGATTTGGCTGAACAGGTTTGCTAGTCCGCATAATTTTGTTACATAGGCATTCTTATGGTTGTTACAACTTAATTTACCAGTGCCACTTTAGCCATCAGTATAAATTTATTTTCAATTGTTTCACCCCCAAATATTAATCATTTAAATTATTGACACCCTGTCTTTTTCTTAAACAAAAAATGACAGTCATTACAAGCTCTAAAGAAGATATCTCAGGAACACCCCACTGCTTGCCTTAGGGCTGGTGCACTTATGGCTGTACTTTCATACCTTGACTTCTTTTCCACCGGAGTTCAGGTAGTATTAGCTGAAAATACGTCATATATAATGGCTCTTTTAAAGTATACTATTTCGACTACCCTCATTTTCATCTGTAATACTAACTAATCTATTACTTTTGGCTCACTACCAGAGAGTAGCCCTGTTTACTGCTGCAAATATGTGTAAAAAACTCCCATCAGATGCATCTGACTTTGTGATGGAAGCTGTACCATTGTTGACTAACCTCCTTCAATATCACGACGCGAAGGTGAATGGATTATTATTATTACTACTACTACTAGTCTACTACTACGACTACAAGTATCATAATGATTATTATTATTGTTATTAATCTATTATTATTATTATTATTATTATTATCTGCAACGAGAATGCAACAATCCTGGAGCTAAAAGAGTCAATATTTCACATTGATTTAGTTTTGGGTAAATAATGGACTATGGACTAAATCCAAACGGCACATTAGTTCTTTCACAAACTGTTGCATCTTTCATGGATTCTCAATCTATTGTCCTCTCTTTTCTTGTATATAGGTTCTAGAACATGCTTGCATCTGCCTGACTCGGATTGCCGAGGCATTTGCAACCTCTCCAGATAAGTTGGATGAGCTATGTAACCATGGACTTGTTAGGGAAGCAGCATCTTTGGTTTCCTCTAGCAGCTCTAGTTCTGGTCAGACTTCACTCAGCACCTCAACATATACTGTAAGTAAACATCTCTTGGCTCAAGTAACCAGCGTGCTTTTATGCTGGATATTGACAGTACATGTTTTGCAGGGATTGGTTCGTCTTCTCTCAACATGTGCTAGTGGTTCTGTTATAGGGACAAAAACTATGCTGCACCTTGGTATCAGTAGTATTCTTAAAGAAATTCTTTCAGGATCTAGCCTTGTTAGTACACTATCAGTATCACCTGCTTTGAGTAGACCAGCTGACCAGGTATTGAATGTTTCGTTACACAATTTTGGGCACACTTCTACATTTTGATTTTATGATGGTCCATGCGATGAATTGTCTTCTGATGCCAAAATGTGCATTATGTAAGTAATTAAAAATTGGGAAGATGAATGGAATTAAATTTAGGTCGCAAAAGTAGAAAGCATAAATTCCTAATGCCAGGTGTTTTAAATTCCTTCTAGAGAATGTGAAGGTCAGTTTAGCATAGAAAAATACACCGTCACAGACCATACAGAGTGTGGGGTTATACTGGGTTTGTGGTTGTTGTTTTTGTTGTTGTGCTTTTGGAATTGAAGATGAATGTTTCAAAAGAAGTATGAAATTTAAACCAAGCAAGTAGGGAACTACTCCATATTTTTTCCAGCAAAGGGAAAACTTTCTATTTGAAAGCAACACATCAATATTCTTGCCAAAATTATCTCTCCAATTTATATTATAGATAAATGCCTTCTTTGTGTTACCAATTAGTCATTGACTCAGAACATGTGTTGAGGGTACTTTACCAATTTGTTAAAGAGGGCTCCTTGTAGGATGGTTTTGAATGTGATAATCAAAAGGGCATTTTAGTCCTCTATATTCAGTCCCCCTCGCATCAAGGAGAATACCATTAATCAGGTATTCAATGACTGTATTCCTCTGACAGCTAATGCTCGACATTCCTGCTGCTTCTTGCCTTCTCTTGTCCACAGGTTTTTGAGATTGTTAACCTCGCTAATGAGTTACTCCCTCCATTACCTCATGGAACAATATCTCTTCCCGTCAGCAGTAATCTATTAATTAAAGGCTCTTCAACAAAGAAGTTATCTGCTGGTAGTTGTAGCAAGCAGGAGGATGTAAAAGATAGTTTGCTCGAGGTTTCACAAGAGATATCAACCCGTGAAAAATTTCTAAACGAGCAGCCTGAGCTTTTATGTCAATTTGGAATAGATCTTCTTCCAGTTTTAATTCAGGCATGTGTTCAGAGAAACACTAACTAAGTGTACCATTTGTATCTGTTTTCCTTTATACAATAGGAAAAATTTTTACTAATTGTTTACACTATTTGATTTTGTGTTCTTTGTCAATCAGATATATGGATCCAGTGTGAATGGCCCTGTACGCCACAAGTGTCTCTCTGTCATTGGAAAACTCATGTACTTCAGCACTGCTGACATGATCCAGTCCTTGAATAGTGCCACTAACATATCTAGGTATGAGTTTGCAATACCCATAATCATTGTCGTAAAATCCTTTCTAGCTTATTCTTGTACGAAACTAAGCACTTTGAAATTGCTTTTAAAAACAAGTTAAATATAGTTTTCGGGTTCATGACTTCATGTGCTTATCCAACATTTAGAAAATCAAAAGAAAGCAAAAATTTATTACTGAAAGCTTACATGGACTAAAGTTCTACTTTTTTCATGCAGTTTTTTGGCTGGAGTTTTAGCCTGGAAAGATCCTCAGGTACTGATTCCTGCCCTTCAAATTGCAGAAATTTTAATGGAAAAGGTCCCCGGTTTATTTTCCAAGATATTTGTGAGAGAAGGAGTTATTCATGCTGTAAATGCGCTTATAATGGACGAGGCTCGTGTTACACATCCTTCACAACCACCATCATGTGAGAAGGACAATGATAGTATAGCAGGATCATCACGTTCTAGGCGCTACCGACGGCGGAGTGGTAATTCAAATGTGGATCTGTCCACTGAAGCAAAAAGTAGTGCTCCAAACTCTGTCTCAGCTCCTAATTCAGTTGAAGTCCCTAATGTCAATTCCACTATCCGCACAACAGTCAGTGGTTGCGCAAAACATTTCAAAGAGAAATACTTCCCTTCTGATTCTGACTCGAGTGAAGCTGGTGTAACAGATGATCTTTTGCGCCTGAAAAATCTTTGCAACAAGTTGATTGCTAGTGTGGAGGGACAGATGACTGAAACGAAAGGGAAATCCAAAGCTTCTGCTCATGGGCTTAGTGAAATTTCTCTCTGTAAAGAAGATAACCTTACCAGCCTTATTGCTGAGATGTTGGCAGAGCTGAGCAAAGGAGATGGTGTTTCCACTTTTGAGTTTATTGGTAGTGGTGTTGTGACTTCGTTGCTGAACTATTTTACATGTGGGTATTTTTGCAAGGAAAGAATTTCAAACGCTAATCTTTCTAGGCTTCGACTTCAAGCAATCAGAAGGTACAGGTCTTTCATTGATGTTGCCCTACCTCCTGGTGTTGAAGGTAGCTCTGTTCCCATGGTTATTCTGGTTCAAAAGCTTCAAAATGCTCTATCTTCCTTGGAACGCTTCCCTGTTGTCTTGAGCCAAACTTCAAATAGAACATTGAGTGGAAGTGCACGGCTATCTTCTGGCATTGGTGCTTTAGCTCAACCATTCAAGTTGCGCCTCTGCAGGGCACATGGTGAAAAAACTCTTCGTGATTATTCTTCAAATATTGTTTTAATTGATCCACTAGCAAGTTTAGCAGCTGTTGAAGACTTCCTTTGGCCTCGAATCCAAAAATTGGAGTCTGGTCAGAAGGCATCTGCATCATCCGGAAATTCAGAGGCATGTTCCATACCTGGAAGTGGCCTTTTATCATCATCTTCTACCACTCCTGTTGCTCGACATTCTACCAGATCAAGGTCTGTTGCTAATATGAATGATGTCCTTAAAGAGTCATCACCAGAAAAAAACACAAGTTCTTCAAAAGGAAAGGGCAAAGCTGTTCTTAAGTCAGCCCAAGAAGAGCCAAGAGGTCCACAAACAAGAAATGCTGCTCGTAGACGGTCTTCATTGGATAAGGACGCACAAGCCCATCCTGCAACTGGGGATTCCAATTCTGAGGTTTGTCTCTCCATCTGATCTGATATTTCATTCATTTGATGTATTGCTGTTATAGTACCATTGTCTCTTGTGAATTTTGATCTCAATTCTGTCATGCCCAAAGTGCTTTATCTATGCTATTGTTTTTTTTACTTGCTAAGTGGTATCCTTTCACCGTGTGGTGCGTGTGTTTGGGGGGAGGGGGTCTTATTATTTCTTGTTTTAAGTACTCATATTTTTTTCCCTTGTCTTGCTTTTGATTTACATAAATTTCTGCTATGCGTTTGTGGGGGACTTTGGCTAATTGCTGATTTTAAAGCTATTTTAACAACTGGTGTTTCTGTTTATCTGACATATACTTCGAACTTCATTCGGCATTCATCATTTTGTTTTTAGTCTTAGTATGATCTTTTCTTTTTGGGTTACGTAGGAAGATGAGCTGGGTTCTCCTGTTGACTTTGTTGATGATTTGGTGATTGAAGAAGATGATGTATCCGAAGATGAAGATGAAGAACTTGATGATGTACATATTTTCCCTTCGTTATTTTTTGAGTTCCAACACATTATTCTTGGGGGTGACTGCATACATAGACAAAGAAACACATTTTGAAAGCTTTTAATGCAATGCAGTACAACCCATTACAGTATTTTTGTTTCAGGAAAGATAGGGATATAAAATGTAATATTTGGCAATATGTTATGGAACTTTAAACGTTCTAATTTTACATGATTTGCCTCATCATTTTTTATAAGTATAATACGATAGGGTTTTGTACGCACCCTACTCGCATGTAACCTTTATATGTAACTTTCAGACATGGTGCTGATTACTATGTTAAATTTTCAGGTTCTTAGGGATGATCGACTTCCTGTTTGCTTGCCATATAAGGTGCATGATGTTAAATTGGGGGACTCTTCAGAGGAGAGTCCAGTTGTCCTCAAACCAAGTGATAGCCAGGCAAATGCTTCTGGTGGTTCTGGCAGCAAAGACGGTTCCATTCGGAGATCTGATTCTCTTGAGATTAGGGGTGGGAGCTCTTATAGCTCCAGAGGTGCAATGTCATTTGCTGCTGCAGCAATGGCAGGCCTCGGGTCTAGTAGCGGTAGAGGTGTTGGAGGAAAGGATAGTCAAGGACGCCCCTTAATTACTTCCAATGATCCAGGAAAATTAATATTTACTGCCAGTGGGAAACAACTAAATCGGCACTTGACGATCTACCAGGCAATTCAACGTCAGCTTGTTCTGGATGAGGATGATGAAGAAAGATATGGTGGCAATGATTTTATATCAAGTGACGGAAGCCGACTCTGGTCTGATATATACACTATCACTTACCAAAAGGCGGATAGCCAAGCCGAGGGTGGTACTAGTGCTGGGGCTTCAACTTCGAGCAAGTCTAGAAAAGCCAGTACAACATCGGGTGATGTTTCCTCTTTTCAAGTGTCATTATTAGATAGTATCTTGCAGGGAGAGCTACCCTGTGATCTGGAAAAAAGCAACCCTACATATAATATTTTAGCACTGCTACGTATAGTTGAGAGTTTGAATCAACTTGCACCACGGTTACGTGTTCAGTCAATGATTGATGATTTCTCCGAAGGAAAAATTTCCAGTCTAGATGAACTTGGTGCAAATTTTGTCAGAATTCCACTGGAGGAATTTGTCAACAATAAGCTCACTCCGAAGTTGGGTAGACAGATTCAGGATGCACTTGCACTATGCAGTGGCTCTCTTCCATCGTGGTGTTATCAGTTGACCAAGTCTTGTCCTTTTCTGTTCCCCTTTGACATAAGGCGCCAGTACTTCTATTCAACTGCTTTTGGCTTGTCTCGAGCACTGTACCGGCTTCAGCAACAAGGTGCTGATTGGTTGACGAATGAAAGAGACACAAGGTTTGGAAGATTACAGCGCCAGAAAGTCCGTGTGTCACGCAATCGCATACTGGATTCGGCTGCAAAAGTAATGGACATGTACTCTAGCCAAAAAGCTGTTCTTGAAGTTGAATATTTTGGTGAAGTTGGTACTGGATTGGGTCCTACTCTAGAGTTCTACACACTCTTGAGTCATGATTTACAGAAAGCTGGTTTAGGGATGTGGAGGGCAAGTCTGTTGCCCCATAAACATGAAGATGTAGAGGGAAGAAATGATGATTCTTTAGTAGGTAGTGAACGGGATCAAATCATAGCCCCTCTTGGGTTATTCCCATGCCCCTGGCCACCAAATGCTGAGGCTTCTGAGGGCCAGCCAGTTTTCAAGGTAATTGAATATTTCCGGCTTCTAGGTCGTGTGATGGCTAAGGCTCTTCAGGATGGACGGCTTTTAGACCTTCCATTATCAACTGCCTTCTATAAGCTCGTGCTTGGACAAGTAAGCTGTGCCTCATTCTGTATTTTGTTTCACTTACGTGTTGGCTTTTTTAGATTTTGTAGTCACAATCTATAACTATGCTTATCTTGATGTTGCTGTATTTTACTGCAGAAGCTTGATCTGTATGATATTTTATCTTTTGATGCCGAACTTGGAAAGACGTTGCAAGAGTTGCAAGCTCTTGTTTTACGGAAACAGCATTTGGAATCAATGGGGCACAATACCCAAGATAAAATTACTGATTTATACTTTCACGGGAGTTCAGTTGAAGATCTTTGCTTAGATTTTACAGTTCCAGGTTACCCCGAATATGTTCTGAAACCTGGGGGAGTGAATGTATGCTTTTCTCCTTGAATGTGTTTGTATAATTGTAATGTGTATTCTCTCTTACTACATTATGTTTGCATTGTTGGTCTTATGGAGGACCATCGATCACCCTAAGGGATCATAACACCATTTAGTTTTAGAAGAGTTGGTAGCACATGATGTCCAACATGCATATGTAACTTTTTGACATTTATAATGCAGGTTGATCTTAGCAATTTGGAGGAGTATGTTTCTTTGGTTGTTGATGCCACTATAAATACTGGAATCATGCGACAAATCGAAGCATTTAGATCTGGTTTTAACCAGGTATGTGGTGTGGTTTTGCATTTGTAGCTTATATTGTGCAGTTGAATTGACCCCCCTCCATTCCAGGATCAAAGTCTATTTTGACTTTTTATGGTCAAACTATGACACTCTTTGACCACAAACTAAATATAGTTTTAAATAAATACTCCGTAAATGTCATAAAAATTTGATATCTCAAAACTCTATCTTAAAATGAAGCTAATTGTATTAAATTTGCATTTGAACTAAATGTACATTTTTCACACTTTGTGGTCAGAGTGTCATAGTTTGACCCAAAAAAGTTAAAATAGACTTTAATTCTAGGACATATGAAGTATTTAAGTTGATGTTAACACATGCTCATGACATTCCTTATCGGTTGGTCAATATGGTTGGACTCCATATGTGGCTTTTGCAACCTAAAAGCCTCTTCCATATTTTTTTTAGATGTTCACAAATGATACTTTTATCATTGTATTCGTGATAAATATATTTTTGAACATTTAAGCTACACGATGAGTATTCTACTAATTCTAGTCCCCGATATCATTTTCTCTCTTTTATAGGGGATGCTTTTATGTCATATTTCTTATGTTTCCCTGTCACTAACACTGAGCCGTTAAAATTGTAGAATTCAAATTTATTCTTTTTGCATTTTCTTGATTACCAGGTTTTTGACATTTCAACCCTACAAATTTTTTCCCCAACCGAGTTGGATTACTTGCTTTGTGGCCGTAGAGAGCTGTGGGAGGTAAATAATAATCATATTTAATAATTACATGAATTGCTTTTGAATGCCTTACCCACAATGTTACTTGTTTATATGCAGGCTGAAACTTTGGTGGATCACATCAAGTTTGATCATGGTTACAATGCCAGAAGTCCTGCCATCATAAATGTAAACGCGCGCGCCCACACATACACACACACACCCTCTTTTTTGCTCAAATGTCATGGTTCAATGTTAATGGTCTCTTAATTTTTCCACCTCTATCTTTGTGTGCAGCTGTTGGAGATCATGGGAGGCTTTACTCCTGAACAACAAAGGGCCTTTCTACAATTTGTTACTGGCGCTCCTAGGCTTCCCCCTGGTGGTCTTGCAGTGCTGAATCCTAAGTTAACAATCGTTAGAAAGGTACGCACCTGGCATTTTTTATTTATTTAATTTCGGCGCCTACACTTTTCAAATTAGAAAATTGCTACAAATAATACTAAAACTTGATCCTTATCCCTAAATCAGAGTAAAACAGTTTTCTTTAAAACCTAAATAGTACGGAGTACATTTTTTGGTTTGATATGCCAAGTTTAACCCTCATGGACCCCACCACACTTCAGCTACTGCCTTCAAACTGCGTTCAATTTACAATTTCACATACAAAGGGATAAACTTCTCTTTTTATTATTCAAAAACTTGACCGGGTAGGACTACTAGATAGGGAAAATGCATATTGTTTCCTCCTACATACATATATTTCTTCCTTTCAATTTGCTCGGTATTATTGACTTGTTATTTCTTTTAAACAGCATTCGTCATCTGGAAATGCGACACTTGGTGGTAACGGGGCCTCTGAATCTGCTGACGACGACCTGCCTAGTGTCATGACTTGTGCCAATTACTTGAAACTACCTGCATATTCCACCAAGGTAATATTAGGCACGTCTCTTTAATTTTTGTTTTATACAATTAATCAAGTTCTTGTGTAATCTAAAAAGTACTTCGAAATACTTGAGCAGGAAATCATGTACAAGAAATTGCTGTATGCGATCAATGAAGGTCAAGGATCGTTTGATTTGTCATAGGGGTTGGACATGTGCACAAATCTGGCCTGGGTTTTTTTAGACAATCGAGCCCTTGTGAATCGCCTGCTCAATAAATGTTAGTAAATTAACCCCGTTTTCTCTTGAATCTGTGTCGTTTTATTTGTTTCTCAGCTTATGCTTTTTTCTGTAATACCGGAATTTCAGAGTTTGTTGGACAGCAGAGAGCGAGTGAAAATGCAATGGTTGGAGGGCAGAAAAGTTGTTTGCGAGAGGGCTCTGTACATACTTAGAATCGTATAATATTTATATTCTTTTATATTTTGAGATCTTAGGAGTACAAGTGTATGAGGATGTTAATGTTGTTTTCTTTACAAATTTGTTTTGTCATCTATGAACCAATAAGAGAGAATGTGGTGTCTGTCTGCTGCAGTTGAAATCATAAAACGGAATGTTTGCTGCAGTTTGATAATGTCTATCGTTTGGAATACCAATGAAGAAGTAACTTTACCGTACAAATGGAGCAATAGCAACTTACCCTTGCATTTTACTTTATGGCTGTTTTAGTTTAATTGTTTTTGCTTGTCCTATTTAGGTAATTTACCTAAATAGGACTAAAACATAATGATTTTTCCAATATAGGACTATATGTTTTTATTTCCCAATGTAGGATTTTTGGTCATTAACAAGTAGTCATTATTCAAGTAAATGTCCATCATTACTGGACATTATTCTTCCCACAAGGTCATTATTAAGTCCTATTTAGGGAATAAAAAAGTTTAAGTCTTACATTGGGAAAGTCATTATGTTTTAGTCCTATTTAGTTCAAATTTTACTTATTCTTATTCTTACTTCTTCCGTCCCATAAACTCATTTTGATTTTTTTATTCAAAAAGTAACATCTTTTGACCACAGATTAAATATAATTTAAATAAAAAAGGTTAAATAAATTTCATTCATCAAAATAATATCATAATATAAATCAAATTATATTAATTTTTACATCATATTTAGCTTTATTTTATTCATAATTTGTGGGCAAATAGTGCTACTGTTTAACTAAAAAAAATTAAAATAAGAAAGAGTATATGAAATGGATGGAATACTGGTTTTTACCACTCACATATTTTGTTTTTGTTTATTTGTGTGTTTTGTTTGATTATTTGATAGAATAAAATATTACTACGTATTATTATTGTTTTGTAATTTTTTGATGTTGTTAATAAATATGTAAATTTATTTTAAACTTATATTTTCTTTAAATAAAATAAATTTAAAAAATTTAAGATTTCACTTCGTTTTATATAAAGTATAAAACATTTTGGGACAGAAAAAGTATAATAGGACACACAAGAGATTGTTTGCTACGGATCCTAGGATTGTTTCATAAAAGTATGGTGTGGTATATAGATTAATAATGAATAGATGTAATGTGATCAGTAAGTTAAAAATTAGTAGAAATAAAAATAAATTTTTAATAAGAATGAGAAAGATTTTATGGAAGGAATGAAAAAAATAATAAAAGTTTTGCCACGGTATATGCTTCTTTGCCAGGGTTCAAAACATAATTCCAATATATTATTGCCACGGTTCAATACATAAATTAATTAGTATCCAAAAGAACTTTTAAAAAATCAGCTACTATACCCTCTCTCCCTAACTATGATCCATATTTGGAGTATGTTCCATATTTTTTTTATTTCAAACATCTACCTACATGAGATATATCTTTTAAAAAAATAAAAAATAAAAATCCGTACATGGAGAAAGAATGAATTAAGACGTGACGTGGCAGGTGTTATCCTAGTCATCCTTCCCCTGGCGACTGCATCTAGCTTGGACGGCCAAAGTCTTGAAACTGAGAGAACACGTGGACTCCTCCTCGAACAGGCTCTTCTCCACCGGAACTCTGCAGTGGTTCTTCCCCAAACACGCCTTCTCCACCACCTTGACGCTGTTGGGGGCGGAGCAGTTCCCGACGGCGAAGTTGCCGCACGCGCCGAGCGGGTCCCCGTAGCTGGCGAACTCGATCTTCTTGATGATCTTGTCGTCCGGGCAGGTGAGCCGGGCTCCGGGCCTCAACTCGTCGTCGGAGATCTGCCGGAACTCGTCCCCCTTCCTCTCCCACGACTTGACGTGCGGCGGGAAGTAGTCCGACACGTAGCTGCATATCGTGTCCCGGTTCACCGTCACCACCTCTATGCTCTCCGGGTCCCCTCCCGTCTCCTCCAGCACCACCATCAAGTTGTTCTTGGGCTTCAAAAACGCTCTCGGAATGTGATACCTACAAATTAAACATTAGGGATGATTCTTATGGTCCCGTTTGGTATATGAAATTCAAACACGATAGAATGATAGCCGTAGATTTGAAATCTGTGGTAGACTCCAATTTCCATCCGATTCAATTTCAATTTCGCCAAATCCGTGTACCCTAATATGTTTTTGTACAGACTTTATATGATGTTAATGACAAGGGGATTAATAAAAGTACATACTCGGATTGAGTGGGCTGTTGGAGGGGGGACAAGAAAGAAACCCAGTATCGACCAATGCTTCTGCCGTTGACCCACACCATACCTTTTGACATTTTGCTCATTCGTATTGCCACTGGTTTTTTCCCCTCGGGAGCATCAATGTATGTCTGCATGCACACGTACACAAACATGCATATATGAATGCATTCACTTATAATAAACAAATAAATTAAATAAATGAAAGAAAATACCTTGTACCAAGTCATGGGTCCATGGTCATTAGTGAGAGGAGACCACCTGACTTTTTCGGCGCCTTCTTCTGTGAAGATTTGCAGCTTCTCTCCGGCAACACCAACCTTTTTAAACATCATCAATACATGCAAATACTCATTCATTCACCACGTACATTGTTTTAGACTGATTAACTGTATAATTAAGGAGTACAAATTTGAAATAATAGTAGTACGTACCGAGTGGGCCCAGCTGTTCATAGAGATATCAAGGGTTCCAGACATCAAACCCTGGAGGGTGACAGCTCTTGGTCCAGCAAACCTCTTCTCCATGTAGGCGCCACTATTCTTTTATTTTTTTTTAATCAAATTAAATATCCATAAGCTAGGTTAATAAACTATATACCGTATTGCACATTACATGCATGCATGCAGGGATTTAAAACGGTGCTACGTATGTAATAAATTGCATGTGACTCGGTTTAATAAGTTTTACGTACAGGGAAGCCAACAAGGATGCCCAGGAGTGTTATGTCATTACTTCCTGGCTTCAAGTGGACTGCCTTTCTAAACACGAAGCTCTTCTCTATGTTGTTCCCGTGCTTGAATCCTGTACATATTTTTATCTATTTACATTCGGATTTACACTTACGCAAAGATATGTTTAGCTTTTAGCGTTTTAAAAAGGTTATTAGCCTTTACTAAATCTGCACTTAGTTAATCACTTACCGACGTATTCGCCGTTAACAAAAGCAAGCAACGCGTGGCCGAGGCTGGCAACCTGGAGGACCGGAAGGATGTCGGACCTCATCGGCAAGTCACGCCGATCGAATTCGATTCTAGCATTCATCAATTCGTTAATCATTTCAGGTAACAAAACATATTAGTTCCTCTTTAGTATATGAACATTTATGCATGTGCTAGCTATGCGTACGTACCTGGTGCTGTACCATGCATAATCAGTTGTGTCTTTCGTTAGCGTGTAGAGCTCGAGCGGAGTCTTGCTCTTTATCGACAAGTTATCGACGGTCGGGATGTTCTCCTTGTACATCTCCCACTTCAGGTTACTAGCGATCTTCGAAGGGTGGAAGTTCCTTGCGTTGTGCTGCGAAACTACAGACTCAGTGTTGAAAACGACAGTCTTGCAGTCCGGCAGAATGCTGACGGACTTGGGTGGGAGGTAGTAGTCCTTCCGCCTGAAACTTATGGTGTTGGGCTTGATGGTGTGGTTGTTGGTCAAGAACGCGACACAGACCTTGAGGTTGGTGTTCTCGTACACTGTGATCTCCAGGTCCGTGCTCACCTTTTGCACGGACGGAGTCCCCCACAGGAGAGCCTTCTTCCCCAACCTCAAAGCCCTGTGGACGTCTCTCAGATGACTCCACTTGGGCTCCCTGAACAGCCCGTATTCGTCAAGGGGGCCTTCGTCGTAGTATCGTGTCGAAACGAATGAAGAAGACGTCCTCCCAAAGTTCGTTCCACCATAGTACTGCATGAATAATGACAAAGAATCAAATCAACTCAATCCATCGTAATGTTTAGATTCACACCACAAAGCTAGTGCAAATTGTGTCATATATGCATGCCTGTGATTAACTTATAACGTACCATGTAGTAGTTGACTAGAGTTCCATTCTTGGCAAAGAACCGAGCCACGGAGAAGGCAATATCCTCGGCAGACCTTTGGGAGGGAGGGTCTCCGAAAGTCCTGTACTGCGCCGTCCAGTTTTCTGTCCACAAAGATGGCTTGTTTGGACCGTTTGGGCCTTGGAATGTATCAGCACAATGTCTTCCGTTACATGTGTTGATCTGTATACATTCAATCAAAGATATTATAATTTAGGATCAAACTTTGGCACGTTTGACTCGAAAAAAAAAGTCAAACTGATCAAATACATACCACGGCGGACGGGGCTTGCTTTTGTTTGCACATGATCCAGGGAATGTCCTTGTATAGAGAGACGGCCATATCGGCAGCCCAGTTAATGTATTTCTTTCCGTTGTCTCTATAAGCAAGCTGGACATTGCTGTACTCGTTTTCAATCTGGGCCAGAATGATGGGCCCCCCTTGGGGTGCAAATAAGTTTTCCTTTTTCATCATGTTCACCACCATTTCCGAGTACCTCTTCATGTGAAACTGCACAAATACATATACATATATATATATATATATACATGCATGCAAAATGAAGTCGAAAATTCGTCTAATTTGATTCGAACGAATATATATACATTGAGACGGAAATAGTACTTACTTAACTTACCATAAATGGCTCGTTGTAGGAACGGAAGGTGATGTTGGGCACCTCTCGCAGCCAGTATGGGAATCCTCTGCACCATGTACATAAATTAAAGTTAATTGATGACAATTTATACTACGAGTAAGAATGTTAATTACCTATATAAATCTATTCAGGAATACGTAGACGTGTTAAATTATGCATGCATGCACAAGTTAGTTAGAAGTAGGTACCCCATATTCCATTCAGCCTCGAGGTAGGGTCCAATCCGGAGGGTGACGTACAAGCCCATGTCCCCAATCATCTTAATGAATTTCACCACGTCATTGTTGCCTTCAAAGTTGAACTGCGTCCAAACTCATTTCCTCATTCATTCCACATTTTACACACACACACACATATGTATACTACTCGGTAGTACTCCATCCGTTACTCTTCCCTTTTTTAGTACTTACAAATGAATTGTTATTATCCTTCTTTATTCAGAAATTTAGCAACAACACTTAATGATTATTAATCACTACATATGGACTTCTAAACAAACAATCACGTCGAATGAGTCACAAGAAGTTAAATATGAATTCCATTCGGATAACTCTTCTAAGGACATATCACGATTGATATAATGAACTTCTAGACCAACAAGCCATGAAAGAATTTAGAATGAAATAATGGTCGTGACTCGACTAGGCCATAATGCATTTGAATGTA